AAAATATATATTTTATTCATTTTCACATTCCATTTTACAATCACTTATATACAGGGTATTTGCTATAAGAAAAAAAAAATAAAACAAAATAAAAAAGAAAACACGGAAGGAAGGAATGTTTTTAACAGTCCCGGCTCTTGCTGGCTGCGAGCCCAAAATAAACACAGATAAATTCTCTGGCAAAAGTAAACTACAGCAAAACAGGTTTATATAAATCACTGATCCAAGTGCTTCTTCTCAATGATTGCAAACAAACAGAGACTTGACTAGAACAGGAACGGAATGGAACGAACGTTGACTTCTGCAACTAGGGCGTGGCACCATCCGTCTTTTATCCGCAGGAGGAGATCCTAATGAGCCGTAGCTGCTCATTATCCTCTCCTGAGAGTCGGTCAGCCCTGCATCCCAAAACCACTCACAGGAGGTTTCTGCTGAGTCACAACACCCTAGTATAGAACCTACAGGCAAATATAGAAACCAAGTAACTTCTTTTTTCTCCCAGTGATATTCCCATTTATTCTTTTAAACATTTTCTGATATCACAAGAGATTGCAGGTAAAAGTACAAAAGAATAAATGAATTATTTTTCATCCTAATGTAATACCATAAACCTACTATCTAGTGAGAGATATGCAAAAAAACCACAAATCCAAGTTCAAATGGATGCTGAATCAGTATATTAACAATTTCAACTGCACAGTCTGGGTTTAAGAAGTACAGTTAGGTACCATCAGCAGACAGATTCCCAAATTGACACAAGACCTCACTCGGTGGTAATTTGTTGAGAATACAGGTAATTCCCCACGTATTGGCGGCAATTGGCACTTTGAATTTATATCACTATGCATAGTGGTCATAAAACACAATGTCATATGATGACAGCATCACTTAGCTAAAGCAATCCCGCAATCCTGATTGCCATTGTAACCATAGGACCATGTGGGCAAATAGACTGGGATGGATGGGTCAGTGCTATAAATGAAGACTACAGGATGCGGGGGGGTGGAGAATGCCACAGACAGGTGGTCCAAAGAACAGCTGAGTACATGGATGCCTTGGGAAGGGGTGCCGTAGGCAGGCACTACAGAACATGGGTGGACGCATAGATGGCATGGGAGTTGGGGACACCATGGACAGTTGCTATGGGGCCTGGGTTGGTGAAAAAGGAGCAGGAGTGAGTGACTTCTGACTTCTCAGCTTTCCTATTGACTTGTCTTGTGGCAGGGAAATCATAATTACATGCCCGTGGCTTGCTGCAATATTGTAATGACTCAAGCACCATGTGAATGGATTGCAAACATGTGACTACCAGGATGCTGCAGTGGCTGGAAATCCAAGGTGCCCCTCAATCAGCAGCATCATCAACTTTGAACAGTCACTGAACTGTGTTTTTAGCCTGAGGACTAGCTGTGGAAGCTAAGCAAAAGAGGGACTCTGAGGCACTCCACAGGTGAAGGACCATCAGCACAACTTCAGGTCTAAAGGAGGTGCCAGTTATATTCGTCTTCACTAAAGGTCCCCTGCTGAGTCCTTATCTATACTGGACCAGGCAAATTACCTCATTGGAAGGGCAGATAGACCCAAATATATCTTTCTCACTTCACATTTTGCTGCTGTTTCCACAAAGATGCTGCTTGTAGTAGCAATCTATCAAAAATAGGCTAACCTTACTCATTTTGAACTGGCTCTATGCCACAATTGGTGGCTGTACTTAGTCAATCAGAGAAGCTAATTAGGGTTGGCCCTGATTGGGGGCTTGGATGAGAGAATGCCTGGGAAAATACGAGTTGAATAACTAAATTGGGAAGTCAGAAAGAAGACAGTGGCAAAAGACTTCAATTAATGCCTAGAAAATTCCATACTCAGCAGTTGAGTCCATTTCCAAGGAAACTTTATTTTTTTACGATGTTACAGAATTGTATTATTTTCTAAAATTAATTTAGCAAACAGGACAAATACTCTGTGATTCTATGCGCGCCTCATTTGGAAGTTAATTCCCACTGACCTATTTTCAAGCAAATATTGATAGGAGGACCAAGGCTGCATATTGATTTCTAAATTATTTGAACAAAAATAGACCTTCGCTGCTTTTTATTTAACTCTTGATCCCTCCATAGTGGATGATCACTCAGTACATTGTGATTTTTGAATTGCAGTTGCTTTATTTTAACAAAAGGTTCAACAAACTTGATTTTATGAATCAAGTTCCTATTTTTTTAAGAATAATGTATTTGTCTCAATACTATGATAGATGAGAATTCTATGGCCTGTTTTTCAGTATCTGCTGGCATACAGAATAATTGCCTGGCAACTGTATATAAGAATAACCAGGCATTCAACTATTTCTACTAAGTACATTCTTTAAAGAATGAAAAAAAATCAGAAGGATATGTGTCCTACTTACTTGTCGGTTCAGAGGTAACACTTCTTTGCATGTTCTAATTAAAAGCTGAAGGTTGCACCATGGCTCTAATTTACAGGAAATCAATTTGATAATCCCAGGTAACAAGGCATAAAATTGCAATCCTGTAAACGCAATTGTGAGGAGGAATTTTTTAGCATTAAAAATACTGTTACAAAATGCAGACATGGAAATCGGAGAGATAGCTGCCTTTCGCATAATAGATGTACAAAGAAGAAAAGCCATGGTGGCGCAGTGGTTAGAATGCAGTACTGCAGGCTACTTCTGCTGACTGCCAGCTGCCTGAAATTTGGCAGTTCAAATCTTATTGGCCCAAGGTTGACTTAGCCTTCCACCCTTCCAAGATGGGTAAAATGGGGACCCAGATTGTTGGGGGCAATATGTTGACTCTGTAAACTATTTAGAGAGGGCTATAAAAGCACTGTGAAGTAGTATACAAGTCTAAGTGCTATTGCTATCTAAATAATTTGGATACCTGACCGATGATGGATTCAGAAACCAGTCATAGCAGAGTATCCAAAATGTCTGTCTGCCTTCACAGAGTTTATTGCTTTTTATATAGTTTTAACAAGCAGCAAATAGGATATATAGCAACAGCATTATTATTGGCGTATTCTCCTTGTCAATCTCTAAGAACATCCCAGCCAGGGTAGATTCTCACATATCTAGATGGTTCCTGGTACTGCCTGGTGGTGCTAATTAGGTGAGTTCACAGACATCTGAGGTAAACAGTTACTGAGACGCAGCAGTGTGCTGCTCACGGTCTCTACATAATCTGACCTCTATCTCTACAGACCGTGAATTCCATTTGTGGGTATGACTGCCAGCATGAAGACCTGAACTTTGGAAGTAGTTGCACTGTTGTCATGGCTGGCAGTTTTAGGCTTTTTCAAGGAAGTTCCTCCAGCCAAGGCATAGAAGGATAATTGCTGAATTGGGAGCTTCTCCAATTCCCATCCTGTGGGAAACTCTGAATATGGTCTATTCATGACCATATTTGAACACTGGTGAAAGCCCATTATATTTGTGAAGGTCTTAGATTTAGAAGTGCCCAACAACAGGGTCCATCTACCAGGTCATCTTCCGGCCAATGGCTATCTGTTCTACCTGGTGGCTTTGTAG